TAATTCGCTTTGGTTTTTAAAAACACAGGTGTGGTCTTTTTTAAATTAAAAAAAAATTAATTTCATTCCCGTGTCAATTGATGTTTTCTTATCAGCTATAAAATTCCTGCTTATTTCAGTGGCGTTTAGTTATCGACTCTGAGATTGCGAGTAATTTCTGTAGCTTTTCTCATCACCTCACGTTGATCGTTACCAATACAAGAAGCACTGCATCGAATGGTTAGAGGCTGTTTCTCCAAATATATTCAAACTGATTTTTTACAAGAAAATGTTCAATTTTTTTTTTTCATTTTTGTCGAAGAATATTCAAGCACGGCAGACGGTGACTGCATCAGGGTGAAATTAATTTTTTAAAATGATACATTTGTGGTGATATCTGATTTTTTAGATAATAGATGTGTTCCAAGTGGGACGAAATCAGACATGCTTCTGTTGCCCAGGCGTTGATCAGACGGTGATCTCGGAGGACCCACGTCAATAACCTAACCCCATCCTTGAGGATACAAGGCAGGGCTGCTTCATCATTTTGGTTTCAGCCCATCCCTGCAAAACCGCTCATCTTTGGACAAGTATGGCCGACGACGCCTCCTCTCTCACTTTCCTCTCTTCTCTTCTTTTCCCTCTCCTCGTCCTGTTGCTCGCATCCCTGTCACGGCGATGGCTGAAGAGTGCTCGCAAGAATCCCCCGCCGAGCCCCCCATCGTTCCCCTTCATCGGCCACCTCCACCTCATCGCCAAGCCCCCGCTCCACCGCGCCCTCGCTGCCATCGCTGCCGCCCGCGGCCCCGTCGTACTCCTCCGCCTCGGATCCCGCCCCGTCCTCCTCGTCTCCTCCGCTCCCGCCGCGGAAGAGTGCTTCACCGCCCACGACCTTGCCTTCGCCAACCGCCCCCGCCTACTCGCCGCTCAGATCCTAGGCTACGGCTGCACAACCATCGCCTGGTCCCCCTACGGTCCCCACTGGCGCAACCTCCGCCGCATATCCGCCGTCCACCTCTTATCCACGGGCGCCCTCCGCTCGTCCTCCGACTCACGGACTGGCGCGGTCCGGTCGCTCGCGAAGTCCCTCTTCCTTGAGGGGGGCGATTCGGGGCCGTCCGGCCCGCGGCGGGTGGAGATGAAGTCGAGGTTCTTCAATCTCGCGTACGACGTGATGATGGGGGTGGTGGCCACGGCCATCGAGGGGGAGTCCACGGACGAGAGGCAGCGATTCCGGGAGGTGGTGGAGGAGACGTTTGCGGTGAGCGGGGCGGTAAACGTGGCGGACTTCTTTCCGGCGCTGCGGAGGCTGGGCTGGCGTGGGCATGAGAGGAAGCTCGCGAGTCTCCACCATAGGAGGGACGCGTTAATCGGGGAACTGATCGAGCGTCATCGCGTCCGCCGCCGTCAGAGTTGCCGCAACCGAGAGGCGGCGGCGGGGAAAGGAGACGAGGGGAGGACAACGGTGATCGACGTTATGTTGTCCTTGCAGGAAAGCGAGCCGGAAACGTACACCGACGTCACAATTAAGGGCCTTATCGTGGTACGTGTTCTTTCTTATTTCTTCGTCATTAACCGGCTATGTCACCTCCCGTCTCGGAGCCGAATTACCGGCTATGTTCATCTCCCACCAAGCAGCGGAATTATCGCTGTCGCCATTTCGAGGGATTAGTTATCTTTAACATTGATCTTTATAATTTCAAAAATTATTCATTGTTCTAATAAAATTTATTTTTTATTTATTTTTTATTTTATAAAATTATATTTTTAAATTTATATAAAAGTATTGATATTTTATTTTATAAATATAAAATTCTTAATATTATCACGTAAAAATTTATATGTAAAGATAATTAATTACGGAAGGATAATGTATAATTAGCTTCACTTTAATAAAAATATTAGTCATGGCTTAAGTCGGCATATGAAGCAACAGTCTTATTAGTTAATTTTCTACCGTGCCCACTAAATATTGACTGCCATAAAAAAAAAGAAAAAAAAAAAAGAGTATATGACCCTCAACCTCCAATGATAACATACTAACAAATGATAGAATTTGATCCTATTGGAGGGTTGTGATAGAGGCAGACACGAGGAGAAGGAAATAATACACACTCTTTTCATGTGTAGTCACTATTGGCAGCTGGAACAGACACGTCGGCCGTCACCATGGAATGGGCCATGTGCCTCCTGCTCAACCACCCTGAAGTCCTGCACGCGGTGAGGGCCGAGCTCGATGCCAAGATCGGCCAAGGGCGCATGGCGGAAGAAGAAGACATCCCCGATCTCCCATACCTCAACTGCGTCATCAATGAGACCCTCCGGCTGTACCCCGCCGGGCCGCTCCTGGTGCCCCATGAGTCTTCCCAGGACTGCACCGTCGGTGGCTACGACGTGCCTCGCGGCACGATGCTGTTGGTGAACGCGTGGGCCATCCACAGGGACCCTAACACCTGGGACGAGCCCCAAGAGTTCAAGCCGGAGAGGTTCCAGTGCGAGGGAGGGAAGGAGGAGGCAGGGCTTAGGATGCTTCCGTTCGGGTCCGGGCGGCGCAAGTGCCCCGGGGAAGGCCTCGCCATGCGAGTGATCGGGCTGGCACTCGCGACCTTGATCCACTGTTTCGAGTGGGAGAAGCTTCCGGGGGAGGAGGTGGACATGACTGAAGGGCGGGGGCTCACCATGCCCAAAGCAAAGCCACTGGAAGCCATGTGCACGCCACGCCACACCATGCTTGATGCCCTTTCACAGCTCTGAGAGATTGGGATACTTGGCAATGTAATAATAGGTCGGGTATGATCTTTACATAAAAGTGTCGTATGCACACGATTAGTCATATCTCAACCAGACTAATTAATCCTAGTGTAGTTCAAAGCCTACTTCTATTGTGTTGTAACCATACTGCTCGCTACATTACCTTCCTCATATTACCTCCTTTCGAAGCCTAATTAGCATGCTGAGATATCGACATCTTACCTCGCTACATTACCTTCATCCTCTTCTTTTTCTTTTTCTTTTTTTCCTTTTCTTTTTCTCCAAATTAGTCATGGCATCTTCTTTTGTTCCTTTATTGTCACCCCCATCTCCATCCTAGTGTACGATTCTACACTCCCATCAAAAGAAGTCATTATTATGATCTTTATCATATGCTTTTAGATACTGTCTTATAATTCTACGTATTTTCCTATATGTCTACATATGTAGTTCCTTATAATCCTAAGTATTTTTTCCTATGTCATATATTGTACTTTACGTGTACAATACCCTCAATCGATAAGAGCTACATGGTTTTGTACACTACTGATACACGACGACAAGAAAAAGAGAGAGGGCAACGCAGTATTTACTCGAAATGGAAGACATTGGATCAGTGATCAAGAAAGAGCTTTACATGTTTGATGAAATGAAGGACAACACAATACATCATTCTCTCTCTCTCCTTGTCGAGTAGTTTGGTTCTTGGATCCTCGGATCCAACATAGAGCGACTACTCGCGAGTCCGTGGGCGGTCGGTGGCCACCAGCCCATCAGGAGCGCCGTACCTGGGATTGGACTTCCCACCCCATTCGCATTCCAACGCGTATCCTCTCTTTCTTTGCCCTTTCGTTTCGTTCCATGAAACTGTTTCTTTCCCTCTTCCGCCGCCACTGCCCATTCTTGGCGGCCCCGAATACGTCCTCTCCGTTTCTCCTCCTCCTCGCCGCTACGAGATCCACATGGCGAGTTCCCAAGAGAAAGCGGTGGCGGTGATCTTGATGGGAGGTCCGACCAAAGGTAGGTCTACGCCTCCCCCTCCCCCGTGTCCGATCCTCTCGTTGCTCTTCTCCTTCAACTTGAGGATCCAGGTTCTTGATTCTTGCTTTCGTCGTCGTCGTCGTTGTTCAGGGACCCGGTTCAGGCCGCTGTCGTTGAACGTCCCGAAGCCGCTCGTTCCTTTGGCGGGGCAGCCCATGATTAACCACCCGATCTCCGCCTGCAAAAGAGTACTTCGTCGTTCCCTCGATGCTCTCTCTTTTTTATGCATTACGGTGTGACGCGTGTTCTTGGAAACCTTTAGATCCCAAATTTGGCGCGGATATACCTGATCGGCTTCTACGAGGAGAGGGAGTTTGCTCTGTACGTCTCGTCCATCTCCAACGAGCTTAGGGTTCCCGTGCGGTTTGTTCTTTGCTATGTGTTTGCTATGGCTTCTTGTAGGTTTAGTTGATTCAAGAATCTTATTATTGTGTACTCTTTCTTTTTAATCGTTAGGTATTTGAGAGAAGACAAGCCGCTTGGCTCGGCAGGAGGGATCTACAAATTTCGGGACCATATAATGGAAGAGAACCCGGTTAGGCGTCTTTTGATCTTGGTCATAGCTTTTTGTTGATTCTTGAAATTGAAAACTAGTTTGATCTCCTAGTTTGATTTCATAACTTGTAAGTTCTGGCGTGCTGTATTGATAAGTTAGAGAAAAAGCAATACGATTGTTTTCTGATTTGTCTCGTGTTTTTCTTTCGGGTGACAGTGTCACATATTTCTGCTGAATTGCGATGTTTGCTGTAGTTTTCCTCTGTCAGAAATGCTAGGTAAGTTCCTTTTGTAGCTATAAGATGTTTTAGCGTTCATGTTTCGATCTGTCTTGTTCTTAGATGGTTAAATCTTTCATGCTATTAAACATCATTTATGCAAAAACAATTGTCTGTAAAATCTTATTGGGATCTGCATGTTTTAGGCCAAGAGAACTCAATTCCACTCGCATACTCAAAATTTTCATAATGTTCAGAGTTGCAGCGTGATTGCTTCACGAGTCTCAATTGAATATAAATAAAAGGATATCGAACACGTGAGAAAGTAATAAGTGGAACCCAAAGGTAACGAGAGACGTGAGAGATTTATGTATGTTTTAAAGAATGATAGAATTGTAAAATGAAGGGAATATCAGAAGATATATTGTACCTAAAGAGTAGGTAAAAAAAAAAACTCTTTAAATGTGACTAAATACAATGTTTGTGATAGGTTTCATGATAAGTCAGATACTAAAGTTGGGGGAAAAGCATCCATTAACACATTAGAACTAAGGAAAAGATAGTAGATAATATTAGATGTAACAAGGATGAAGATCAAATGGTGTTTGTTAATAATAGATAGGTTAGGGAAATGTGGAATATTTATTTTTATGTTTCTAACAAACAGTCTAAGGTAATTACTATCTGTGGTAGGAGGAAGTGACAAGTATAAAAATAATAGATTTATTCCTTGGACTAAAGCAAGTTAGCCAAAGGAAGCTTTAAGGAGGATTAAATAGGACTTTGATAAAAAGAAAATGTGGGGAAGTAGCCAATTCTACTTTCAAGTATACCATAGTATTATACAATTATGTAGATTCCGGAGAATATCATATTGCTGGACCATACCTCTTCCTCATGTCACATTTGTATGGTTTTACATTCAATTGTCTAAATGAACACAGATGCACATAGAAGACATGGTGGTATGGGTACTATTTTAGTAATCAAGGTAAAGTGTGGTTAGTTTCGAATTTGATTTCATCTTATGCTGCTTCCTTTAGGCAGCACCATATGACTTCTCAATATGCTTGCATTGGCTCCTCTGTTTAGGTCTCTGCTGAAACAGCCAACCAGTTTGGTGAGCTGGTTGCTGATCCTGTCACAAACGAAGTCTTGCACTACACTGAGAGGCCTGAGACTTTTGTATGTCTGGGTTGTCATGTCATTTAATTTTGACTTCTTTCTTTGGGAGTTGCAAATTCATCTTTTGCCAGAGACTCATAGTGCTTATACGCATGCACATGCATCTCTAGGAGGCAGTTTAACTGGTATTTGAATCATACCCATCTTACTTTTTATTGCTGTGTCTTTGCAGGTAAACGATCTTATTAATTGTGGTGTATATGTATTTACACCACAGATTTTTACCATCATCCAGGAAGTCGTTTTGCAGGGGAATAACACAGGTGCCACTCCTTTATGCATATTCAGTATTAACACAGTTACCTAGTTAGTAAAAGTACAAAAGATTAATATAATTGTTTAGTCATTTACTTCAACTCCTCAGGCGACTATCTTTTGCAGTAGTTTGAGTCTCATTAATGGTCGGTTCTTATGGAACTTCTCTATTTTATGTATAATGCATGTTTTTAGCTCAGAGTAATCTATTTTAGCTTGTAGGTTTTACTTGATTGTTCAATAATCTAGCAAAGTTGTCTATGGTAACATAATTTTTGGTTTTAGGTCTTGTAAGTTATTTATTTAAGCAAACTAAACCATTTCAGAAATAATTTGTATAACACCTTGTTGGGGATATTATAGATGCCTAAAGTAACCTTTGCCTCTCAATTAGTGAAGCCACTGGTTTATGAGAATTGATGAGTTATATGAATATTTTATCTAAGAGAATACATACTAAAACCATGGTTCGCCTTACCGGTCCATACCGGTGTACCGACCGACAATTGGTATGGTACATACCAATGTATTGACACATGGTACGATGAGATGTACCAATCTCTTACCAATAGATTGGTATGTACTGTCCATCTCGATCTCCTGTTGGATCGATATGTACTGCCTGTACCGAGTGGTACATCATGGTACGACGAACCTTCACTAAAACTAATTATCTAACTTCCCTTTGTCTTGTCTATAATGTTATTCTGTCTTGATGCATAAATTGACATTTCCACATTAAGTATGATGAATAGTTGAAGAACTGTAAATTGTTGATCTTGTCTAAGTTAAATTTGGAGTCACCTGAGAATATAGTCTACATGTTTAAGAAAATAAAATTGAGCTAGAATTGTGGGCTGATAACCTACTAACTTTAGGATTTTGGGCTATAATACTGTCTAAATTGCCATAATAATTCAATTGTCAATTTGGCTTACTCATAATGAATAATTAGTACTAGAGCTCATAGTTTGACTTAAGCTTGGTGAATGGTGGACGCTATGCAAGTTAAGGGCTGACTTAATTGTGGATGTATATTGAACAATTGATGATTGGTTGGTGCTTAGTTCAATTGTTAAATTGAGGAGAATTGAACATATACACTATGCAAGATGAAATTTATGCATATACACTATCTGTGGATGAGTTAGCAAGGATGCATATAAGGCCACATTTCATTGGTGAATTGGTAGGTTCCATCCATTATGGCAGTGATGCTTTTGCTCTCTATTTAAAATTCACCTACCAAAATCTCAACAATCTAAACCCCTTCCTGTGTCTAAGATAATTGTCCATGATTAGGAGATTTTGGTTGTTTTGGTAATATTTTTTAGTTAACTCATCACCTATACCAAGTTAAGTGCAACTTTAGCGAATGGTAGCTACAAGTTTAAAGTGTAGTGTCTTTTGTTTACAGGGTCATACAAAATACTTGAATCTTTGCAGCGGTTAAGAGGTTTTTATTGATATATGCAAAGGAGAATTTAACCTAGAAATTATGGTTCCACATGACTGAAGTGATTGAATTATTAACTATAATTTTTTGTGGTCCTAAAACCTACTAAGTTCAGATTTTGAGTTAGCATTTGTCCAGATTATATCAGTTCAGTGCATGTCCTCAAAATATTTTTTCTACCAGTTGGCATAAGATCCATGGTTTGGTCTGGGCTCAGAGATCATTATTCTATGTCGATTTAATTTTGGATGCTGTGATAGGCAATTCAGTATATTTTTTTCAATTTTTCATGGACTAAAATTCTCATTAGTACCAGTAAAGAGAATGACTTTATGGCCACAAATTTATGAATTCTTGGTCAGGGATAAAAAACCTCTCTAACTTCCAGGAAGTGAAAAAAGATGCAATGATCTACTCGAGGAAATTCCCAACAAAAATCCCACTATTTCTTCTATTGATTTGGTCATAATCGCTACCTACACTCTGTGGAACTGTTCTCCAAAAATAGGAGCTAACAATTAGACCCAGGTTCCATCGAAAGACATCCCAATCCCTAGGTAACATTGCTCGAGTATGTAACCAGAGATGGATACTAGATGGCGAAATGGATTTCGGATTCTGTCTCATTCCTCTGAACAGGAACTGTTAGCAATTTTATTAATACTGCAATCATTAGAGGAATACCCGATGCTTATTGGGTATGTGAGGTATTTCAGGAAAAAGAAGTACCACTCATGTAATGTTTCTATTTGCAATTGCAGATGATTCTGTTGGTTCATTAACAAATGATGTTTCTAGCATCACTAATTCTACATCATAATCTTGTGTTTAATTTTTTTTGTTTTAATAATTATGTGACTATCCTTTTTCCTTGAGATAATAAGTAGCACAAGTTGCTAGACCTAAGCCAATAAGGAAGTATGTGGTTAGCTCATTGTTGTTTGGTGTGACATTAGTTTTCTAGTGAGGAGAATTTTATGATTTTATGCTGAAGGTAATAAATGATAGACTACAGATATTGATGTTGACCCATAACTCTCTAGATTAAACCTTTTGGTTGCCACATTGCCGAATGTCAACCTGTGGTGAAATCTCCTCCAGCAGTTACAAGCGAATATTCTAGATGATAATATATGATCTTTTCTAGAAGATAGATTAATCCTTTTGTAGTCTTTTCTTTTATGCTCATCAAAGTTAATTGAGATTTTTGATCTCATATCTTAGATGGCATTTCTTTTCTTAGGCACTGTTGCCACTGCAAGTATTATGGTCCATTAATACTGTTTCTACCTTTATTTGCATAGTAAGATGTGTAGTTTAATTTGCTTTTGTTTTAGCTAAGCAAATAATAATATAATGCTACTCTAGTTATATGAAAATTAATCGAATGTTAATGTATTCCCTACTTTCTTTTGTTTCAGTTAATTTGCGCCGTGAAACCAGCTTAGAAGCATTCCAGTCAGTGGCTAAGTATGAATTCGTCGAACTTATCTGCAGTATGAAAATGGAATTAGCCTGTATCGACAAGTTGATTCATTGTCGTCATTTGCTACTATAATAGGACTGTGCTGGATATTTCTAATGGATAAATATATTTTTAGGATGGGTAATTATAATAAGGTCTAGGAAATTGATCGTTGTTACTATTATGTTGCCTGCAGGGCAAAAAGTAACTTGGGCAGAATCAGTCATGATGTTTTAGACTTAGGAGCAAGGCACTTCTTCCAACCTACCCACCACCCTCTTCCTTAGGAAACTATTGTGGATAGGTTGCTGGATGTTTGTCATAGTCATTGTCAAAGATTACTAAGGCTCCTCTCTGGACAGTGTCAAAATATTTTAGTTTTAGTCAACCAGTTTGGTTGTCAAAATAGTCTTTTTAACTTTTGAAGAGGCTCAGTTGTGTTGGAATTGGTACTGACATCTCTTAACAGGGTGCTACCGCCAGAATTTGTTCGGCTCGATCAGGATATCCTGACTCCTCTTGCTGGAAAGAAAAAGCTTTATACATATGAGACGGTTGACTTCTGGGAACAGATCAAGACTCCAGGGTTTGAACGCCATGGCCATCCCACTTCTTATGCCTGATCCTGCAACAGCTGAATGCACTGACATTTTTTCTTCCTTCAGGATGTCTTTGAGATGCTCTGAATTGTATCTCTCCCAATTTCGTCGTACCGCTCCACATCTCCTAGCAACTGGAGATGGCACCAGAAGTCCAAGTATTACTGGTGATGTTTTCATCCATCCATCAGCAAAAGTGCATGTAACTGCTAAGGTAATGTATTACCACATAGCCAACTCGGACCCCTCTCTGAGTTGTTCCTTAACAAAATTTGATTACTGAATGTTGTGACTGTGATCCATAAAGCTTGGGAATGCATCTTATATTTCTGCTGTTTAATTTACATCCAATGATAGTCAAGTTAAAAATGTACAATAAAAGTGTTTATGTGAAGGAAAAAAAAACGTTTAGTTAGAAACAACAGGATACAAAGCCACAAAAAAGCGTTGACTAGTGCTGAATGGACCAAAGACAATAATTGTAGTTAAAAACTTGGCCATATGTGTTGTTACTAACTTGTGCAGTTAAAAGTGAACAGATTGGACCTAATGTCTCTGTTTCTGCAAATGCCCGTATCGGAGCTGGCGTGAGACTTATCAGTTGCATCATCCTAGATGATGTTGACATTAAGGTATGAAACTTACAATACTAACTAAGCTCAGTGCATTGCCTCCTGCATCATCTTTTACACATTTCTGTTCTTATTACAGGAAAATGCAGTTGTTATTAATTGCATTGTTGGTTGGAAGTCATCTATTGGAAGATGGGCTCGTGTGCAGGCAAGCTTAGTTTATTTGTTCCATTGTTTTGATGATAGTATTTCTGGACTAAAAATTACAGAACAGATAATAAATTATATGGAACTTGTTAAGATATAACCACACGAGCCTCTTGAAAAAGAAAGAAAAATTATTGAGTTGTAGAACAACCATAGTTGTCTTGCACTGGTTGTAGAACTAGGATTACTTTTGATTGCACTTGCCATAGTGTTTTAAGTGAATGATTGGGAAATCCCGGCTGTCTTTCAGGGTGAAGGAGACTACAATGCGAAACTAGGGATAACCATTCTTGGTACTACTACTCCGTGTCAACCTTCTTTTGTTTTTTGAAAATTGTTTTGGAGATGTTACTGTTAATTCTAATTTTCAGGTGAAGCTGTAGCAGTTGAAGATGAGGTGGTTGTAATCAACAGCATTATTCTACCAAACAAAACCTTGAGCATTAGTGTACAAGAAGAAATCATCCTGTAGTTTGGTTTGGAGAAAAATGGCTCTCATGGGAAGATGCCATTCCTGTGGAGAACAAAAGTTGCACGAGATATTTGACCTAGTAATGTTTTGAGTTTGTATTTCTGAATAATATTTTTTTGAGGAAATTTCTTACTGCAAATATATCTCTCGAGGAACCGTTCAAATTGCATGACAAATTTCTCATATGAAGCAAATTTACATAATTTTATTTTAAATTGTACGAAATAATTTTTATTAGTTCCGAGGAGTCAAACTTCTACTAGTACGAAATAAATAAATTGCATGATCTCTAGCATTTTTCAATATTGCAAGAAAAAAATTTTCAATATCTTTCAGTATAGTTTTTCAATTACTACGCTTTTTAAGTCTATCAATTAACGAGGGAATTATACATATGTATTATGTATACATATTTATTTATACATGTATATATAAATATGTATATATATGTATATATGCACTCACATGGAATGATTGGCAACCCACAATAACATCTCATTCAGCCTTCTCAGGGAAACTACCCTGGGTTCGTCAAAGTAGGTTGCAGGTATTTCAGGGTAAGGGGCTACACACACGCACTGTCACAATGGCGAACAAAGATAAGGTTAGAATAACTTGTCAACATGTATAGATATAGTTCTGTATGAAAGATAAAACTTACTTCGTCGCGACAGTATCTGTATCTGTTGCCCATATAGTGGGATGTTTCCTCGTTCAAATGCAAATCATGAAATGCAAACTTGAGATCAATCACATCATAACGAGTGCACGGTTTCAAGTTTTGGCTCTGCAAAGCAACAACATTTGGCATCCAGCAAAACGCACGACATTTTGAGTAAAACCCAGGGATGACTTCTCGGATCGAGCGTGAATCTAGCAACGAAAACAGCAGAAGCTGCAACTACCGATGGCAAGAACCAAACACAGCCATAGTCCATTAGAGTCAACTCACCAAGGTAGCTTGCCAGGAATTCTAAGTTCGCATACAAGTACTGTTTCAGAGTTAATATATACCATCAGAATTGAAGCTATAATGTATCGATTTGGAAAGAGATTGCACCCTACAAGAACAAACAAACAAACACTCACTTTGCCATCGTCTCTACCAGCCTGTGTGAATCTCCTATAACCACAATATAGCAAATTTAATTAGCGATCAAACTTATAAGAGGAGAATTCACCAGACGCTTAACGCTGCGCAAAATCTCATGACACTAGAAGGACTCGAGAAAGGGCATACGAGAAATGTCTTGACCGTGGGACTGCCCATATCAAATCTCATATGTCTTATAATGCTGATCTCCATGTTCAACACCTGCACGCGCATGAGAACCAAAAAAACACAAAAGAAAGAAACTGCCATAAGTATCGCCTTTAAGAACAATTAACGAATTCAAGAAGAGGGTGAACAGAAGGTTACTTCGTCCTTCCGGTAAACATCATGAGCTATATGGCACATGTGTTTCATCCCAGGGTTTTTCTGCTCTGCGTACTTCCTGCATGCATTGGTGGAACCCCATGCAACAAGTTCCATCAACAAGATGACCAAATGACGCAGCAAAAGATATTCAAGGGGGAAAGAAAAAGTGAGAGAGAGAGCGAGAGAGAGAGGATCTTGAGACAAATAACATTCCATGCAACGCAAATTGCAGAAGCCCCAAGCAGTTGAAGACGAGCTCCTATAACGGTGAATGAGGAAAGGGATCTATCAACGTAAGAGACAGCAAGGCAAAGGATATCTGAGCGCAGACGGAAGTAGTTCCTCATCATGGCTGTGATTCCGATCTGAACTGCCTCCAAGTAGTTCATTAATGGCCTCAGCTTCACCTGAAACTAACAAAAGAAACACGAAGAAGAAGACGAGTTGTGGATAGAAAAGCGACATGATTTCAACAATCTATGTCGTGGAAGACTAACCTCCCTTGATCTGAGGTAACCATAGATATCAGACACGTAAGGTATGCACATCTGCGAATCATCAACATCTACGTAATCTCCTTGGGTGCAGTCCGCACAGGTCGAGGGGGCAGTCGCTGCCTGAGAGGTGCCAGGGAGATCCGATGGCCTGAAATCGTCTTTCTTGGAATCCTAATCTCCCGACACTCCTTGGATGCAGTCCGCACAGGTCGAGGGGGCAGTCGCCGCCTGAGAGGTGCCAGGGAGGTCCAATGGCCTGGAATCGGCTTTCTTGGAAGACTGATCTCCCGACGCTCCTTGGGTGCAATCCGCACAGGTCGAGGGGGCAGTCACCGCCTGGGAGGTGCCAGGGAGGTCCGACGGCCTGGAATTGTCTTTCGTGGAAGATTGATCTCCCGACGCTCCTTGGGTGCAATCCGCAGAGATCGAGGGGGCAGGCTCCGCCAGTGAAGGTGCCGAGGATGTCCGGCGGTCCGGTGCCATCTTTCTTATGGCTGGACTGATTACCCGACGCTCCTTGGATACAGTCGGCAGCAGTGGAGGGGGCAGTCCCTGCCTGCGACATGACGGGGAGGTCCGGCTTCGCCACCTCTTTCTTGGGAGACTGAACCCCCGGCGCTCTTTGGATGTGCTCTACAGTGATGGACGGGGTGGCACTCGGTGCCTGGGGCGTAACACGGACGTCCTGCTACATGACCACGTCTCTCTTGGGAGACGGATCCCCCGACACTCCTTGGACGCGGCCCGCAGTGGTGGAGGGGAGATCTCCTTCCTGAGAGGCGGCGTGGGAGTCGGGCGACCTGGCCACGTCTTTCTTGGGGGACTGATCCATTGTCGGCGCTCCTTGGATGTAACCCAAACGATGGAGGACCGGCGATCTGGTGTTGCCTTTCCTTATATTTCTTGTTTCTTGATTCCCCTACATATTTCTTGATTCCCCTACATAGATCCGAAGAAGAGGAAGCAGAATATATATGTATATATATACACACATATATATATATATACACACATATATATATATATACACACATATATATATATATATACACACATACATATATATATATATACACACACACATGATGATAATAAACCAAACATATTAATACTTAAAACTAAGGTACATGTGTATATATATATATATGTATATATATATATGTGTATGCATATTATATATACATACACATATATATATATATATGTATGTATATATATATATACATATATACACATGGTGATAATAAACCAAACATATTAATACTTAAAACTAAGGTACATGTAACTGAATAATTACTCACTTTGCCATCTTCTTGACCGGTCCGTGTCAGAAAGCTTTCCGATGCTGGTTCTCCCACGATGGAGCCACGTCAGCTTCAGTATGGGCTCCCCTGCAGGCATCTTCAATCCCCCAATAAGGTTATTAAAGAATTACTGATTAGATCCATTTGGAAATGGTTTCACAAAATAGTAAAACGTAACAACCTGATAGAAACTAACTTTCTCGAAGTAACTATCGAGATCAAGATTAACTTCGATCGAACAATTGCTACTCTTTTAAGTTCTATTCGCTCACAACGCAAATAGATAGTTTATGATGCGATGCCTTCTCGAGACTAACCTTAGGTATTTCTTCAGATATGTCAAACCCAACTGACTGCCACCTGGCTAGTTTGCAAGAAACAAGCAATGTAAACTGAAATCACAGTCCATTATATAAACAGATTATAGCGTTTGTCAGATGGTTTGGCTTTGAAGTGTGAATAATAATAGTATGATCAAATAATTTTTAGAATTCAAACATAACAGATCCATGATCGAATTATAAGGGGAGAATGTGTTCAGTAGAAATTCTAATTGGATCAATCACTAACAAGGACTAAATTAACAGCTGCCAGCCAAAACAAAAACAAAAATCATCTCAATACTATAATAATGAGAAATGAATTCAAGCACAGATGTTATGTCAAACTTCATCATGTAAAGCAAGAAGTTGGAAGGAAAAATCACCAATTGTAGAAGTTGAAACGGATGACAAAGAAACACATGCCAGTGATTAAAAATGACAAAATGGTTAAAGCTAATTGTAATACAAATAGACACGATTCTTATTTTAATGCTAAGTATAATCAACACGCTGAGAAAAAAATGTCTAATAAAGCAGCTATGAACATTGGGTTCTCACTTGGAGACCCATGCAAATTTCTGGTAGTTCCCTGCAACATAGCTTCATACTTGAGGCTATGCTTCTTGTGTATTTTCTGGTATTCTCTTTTTTGTGGGTTTGGCGTTTCTAAACTAGAGGCTCTTAGTCTGCAGGCTGTGATGGAACCCCTAGAGAATTCCCTCATGGGAGAGAAAAATGGATTGTTCAAAATCATGCGCAATTTTATATTCTGTGTCAACATTAGCATTCTTTGGGGCTATCTTGAGGGACTCAAACACACCTTTAATTTTAAGATGCGAGAGGTATCAATAGGCAGAAGAACACAGTCAGACAGATGCAATGAGATCAAGATTGTTGTACATGTATCCATCACATAGAAGTATTTTTTGCTTGAAAGACATGTACCTGAGGCTGCTTGTATTGTATTCTGGTAGTCTTCCATCGGATTGCTTTCTCGTTCAGCTGCAAATCATAGTCTATCAAACTCAACTCACCGAGGTAGCTTCCTAGAAACTCTAACAGCTGGCTTGAAAACTGTGTCAGATTAGCGTAATAAATCATGAGAAATGCAGCATGCAAACCAATGGGCACCACTCATTCTTGATTAGCCTAATAAACACTCACTTCGCAATCTTCTTGACCACATAGAATGAACTTCCTACAAGAGTTCAACATTAACTTTGATTAGCCTAACTGGACTGCGAGGAAACCGACATGCTTTCAAGAATCCTCTTGTGGAAGGCCAACCTCCAATGATCTGAGGTAATCATAGATATCAGTCGCGTAATGAGTACACGTTTGCGGATCATCAACCTTGGATGTAGTCTCGACGATGATGCCCGCAAGGTCTGGCAAACTGGCCTCGACTTTTCTTGGGTGACTGATTTCCCAACGCTCCTTGGATGTCGCCCTCGATTCCTACAACCTAGTGAAATTTGAGTTTAACCCAAACGAAAGAGAAGGAAGAGGAGATGAAAGAAAGTGGGGTGCGGGAGGGAAGCATGAGCTCGTACATGAAGAAGAATTAGAAGAGAGAGGCGACGATGATGGCAATTTCTTTTCTTCTTTTGGTGGCGGTGAGGTTGTTCCTCCATATCTTTCTTGCAATTGCTATTCCTCCTGAAGAAGAAGAAGAATAATTATAAGAGAGAAGAAAAAAAGAAAACAGATACAGCATCATCTAATCCAAACCATTGCATGTCAATACCCAGGATGACTTCTTGGATAGATGGTGAATCACCCAACAAGCGCGATCGAAGCAGCGATTACAGAAGGCAAGACCTAAAGACAACCATTATCTCCGAAGGGATACAATCTTTAAGTAGCCAAAGAATTCGCATCAGGGCATATGAGACGAAGCGCATCGCCGTCGAGAGGACGGAATGAATGCACAGAGCCGCGCGATCCATCTCCAGCCCTGTTCGCCACCATCTGAGTGAGGCGGGGGTCGGCGTTCTTCTTGTCCGCCTTCGAGTCGGGTCTCTCTCACCCTCTATTGGCTTCTTCTCTGGGTTGGAGGTTACGGCACCCGCAGCATCACGTTTTATGCGTCCGGAAAGATCTAGAAGTTGGAAATGGTGAATCGGTAGGAACAGGCCGACGTGGGGATCAAACACGACTGTATCAGTGGAGCCCGCAGTGACCTTTGATGTGGGCTTCTCCGGTCAGGTAAGCGAGTCGGAGCGCGCAACTGCTTCCCGACTCATGCTTTAAAAGTCGAGCAATTGCTGATTTCATTAGATCTCTATCGAGGTTTACGTTGTGTAACAATAATGATACTGACACATCGTGAAACGAAATCATAGTTAAGTCCTGAACTCTTCAGTACCATAATTGCTTCAAATTTGGTAGTTATTTGGTCCAGTATTACTTCTAACTCAACTATAAATTCCAAGATTCATCTGGAAAAGTGCATTCTATATAATACATAAATTCAAGAATAGCAGTAGTGATCTCATTTTGCGATCAAAGTTAGCGATCTTGTGTTTTCTATATACATTCTGTGAAATCCAATCACATTTTAGAGCAACTTCATCACAAGTCTATCACACGACAATAAAACAGGGATGGAGACCAATGAAGACCATATATATTTACAAAGGGATACACTTCCAAAGAATATGAGATTAATTGGCACTCCCACAATTCATGTCAAGCTTCTACAGAAAAGCAGCCTATACGTGCCATGAAAAAAAATCTGATCCACAAAGTTCTAGTCATATGAGATTTATAATACACATCATTTCCTAGACTTGCACATGGTAAATCTCGAGGGGCAATTATCTCTTCCAGCTTCCCTCATCAAATGATACTTTTTTAGTAGGAACAGAACTGCAATCAGCAATTTTTGATGCATTCTTTAACATCGAAGTTATCAGTCATGCACAAAGATTAGATAGAGACTTAAGAAACATCCAAAGAGCTTCAGCGTTCTCATTTCAAAGACTAGATCACACTTCATTTAGCTCCACATTCCGGCTTGGGATCTCGTTTACCGATAGTCGTGATAGTTAGCCACGGTGCACTTCATGGTAGGTATTCCTTGGGTTCATCGAAGTAGGTTGCAGGAATCTCAGAGGGAGGAACCAGTGAAGATACACACTCGAACTGTCAAAATGAATACAAAAGTTCAGACAAATGAAGAGAACTAAGATCGTCCTAGCAATCTCAAAAGCATAAAAGCACTTCTGTTCGATGGATAAGACTTTTACCCTGTGCTGCTTGTATTTATCTCTGATAGCCACCAGCGACGCTGCTTTCTTACTCAACTGCAAATCAAGTATGGCACAGATGCAGTATTTTAGATCAGACACCTTATAGCCAGTACACTCTTCCAATTTTTTGTTCTGCAAAGTAAAGAAGGGATGTTAAGCATAGCAAGAAGAACAAACAGGAAGAAGACAGACACTCTTATCCATTCTCATGTAACAATGTCTTACCCAAGGATGACTTTTTGGATCAATTGTGAATCTTGCAACAAAAACAGCAGCAGCAGCAACTACCGACGGCAAGAATTTAACGCAACCATAGTCCAGTAAACTTAACTCAGCAAGATAGCTTCCGAGGTATTCTAATTGCAGATTTGGGTACTGTATCAAGTAAAAACAAAATGAAAAAAATATATATATAAGCAATGAAGCCATAATTGCACGTCGGGCTACTGTAACAAGTTGAGGAACATATCAAGCAAGAGGAATAAACACTCACTTTGCCATCTTCTTGACCAACCTGTGTGAATCGCCTGCAATAATGAAATAGCAGCACTATGATTAGTCTATTAAACTGGTAAGCAAAACCAATCAGTATATGGTTACACCGAAACATCAAGGAGAACCTGAGAAAGGGGCTAACATTCCATACCTTACGAAAGTTTTGATGGTTGGATTGCCCATCTCGAACTTTAGAAACTTTAGGATGTCACTCTCCATTTTCACCACCTATATGGACATAAAGACGTGTTAATCAACAAGCTCTAAATCATCAGACGGTACAATGAGATCAAAGAAGATATAGAGAAAAGACTACCTCTTGCTTTGTGTAGGTATTATCCGTGATATAACAAAAATCTTCCGCGTTAGGGGGGCTAATCTCTTCATATTTGCTGCGTTATCGGATACCAATCCAAAAACTTCCATTAGCGCAGTGTTCAAATAAGAAACTCATCATCGATAAAAGAAAATGGATTGTAACATACGAAGCAATGAGCATGGAAGAAACCCCAAGGAGCTGCAACCGGTGTCTATTGATCGCATTGAACGAAAGGAATCGATCGATGTAGGAGACAGTGAGGAAAAGGGTATCGGAGACCAGCTTGTATTCCTCCGCCACCTCAACTAACCAATCCACCAGAATCGCCCTCATATTGGCCGTGACGTCGCTCTGAACCGTCTCCATATAGTTCGGCGATGGCCTCCGCTTCGCGTCCGCCTAGAAATCCAACGAAGCAAAATAGCAGATGAGACCAACTCTAACTAAAAACATGACACTTTCCCACGGAAGGACTCCTTAGTAGTAGACAAACCTCCATTGAATTGAGGTATTGATAGATATCAGACGCGCAATGTGCACACATCTGCGGATCATCATCCGACGGGGCGGCGACCTCCACGAGATCAACTTTCTCGTCATCCGCCTCTTCCACCTTCTTCTTGGGCTTCGACTTGGGCTTAGAAGGAGGAGGGGTGGTGGGATCTACCGCCGCCCGAGGGACGGCGTTGGAGAGGGTGGGGAGCTCGCTCAGAGCCACGCGCTTTTTCTTCGCCGGCGGCGGGGCGACTGGGTCCGCGGCCTGGGCGGAGGCGACCCTCTTGGCGGCAGCACGGGTGAGGCGTGGGGCGCCGTTCTCCTTGTCCGCCATGGATTCCGATCTCTCGCGCTAACCAAGTTGCGCTTGGATTTGGTGAGGGCGCGAGGAGAGGAGAGAAGGGAATGGGGGAAAGAGTGGGGGAATGTGCGGTTTGTATAGGAGCGAGGGGAGAGTAGAAGTGAGGGGGAAAGAAAGGGAGTCCGCCATTTTTTGAAGCGATTCGAAAACGCGAGAGAGAGAGAGAGAGAGGAGGGGGGGGGGGGAGAGGGGAAAAGAGGGGGGTTTGTTTTGGCTTTGGAAAGAGTGAGCGAGAGAGAGAGAGAGAGAGAGCGGGGTTGGGAGGAGGGCTCGGCGATCGCGGGGATTCCCTCGCTTTCGAAAGTTCGAAATGGGGAGCGAGCCGTTCGGAATTGGGAAATTTTTTGGGAGGTTGGGATTGGCGGAGACTTGGAAATCAATCTCGCTGCGCTCCATCCATTTTTGGCATCTGATGGCGCCGCTTGGTTTCCGTACCGGCAACAATTCATCCCCTTTAGTTTTAAGTGAAATCAAATCCAACCTGCATCGGACCGGAATCGATCCACGCTCGAGCCCGTCATGAACCGATTCGTCCGCTCGATCCGATTAAAACGCGTCCAGATCATATTAAATCTCGTCGTGGTCGCATTTCGATGTATCGACGACCCTGCAATTGCATCTCGAGGGAGGATGTATGCGGAGGAGGATCATCGAATACTTTGCATGAGTAGCTAATCGATTTGGTCCGCCATATATTATATGCGATTTTACTGTAACACTATAAAAGTTTTAATTTTCTTTTTTCTTTTCTGCAAATAGCTATGTAGGTGTTGAAGTAGATATACGGTCGGAAATGTCGTACGGTGGATTGTAGATTAGATTATGATAGAGTGAATGTTCTTCTCGAGACGTGACAGCTTCATCAAATCTAGATAAGTTGAACAGAAATAAACCAATTATGTTTATCATATCAACAGTTAATCCTAAATCACACATGATATGCGACAATCGTTCACCAGTATGACCACAATGTCATGATCTGATTACGCCTCGACAAGCTAAGAACTCACACGTCATCGATCCTCATTTGGTTCAGACGTTTGAGTGAATAATCTATATTTTACAAAAGTGAACTAGCAATATGGGGTATACATGAGGATATATGTTTGAGTGAGATAATTTGGAAGTGGTATAATTGATCTTATGTGTGATAAAAAAAATTAATTAATATCATGGATTTAGGTAAACCAATTATTAAATTACATTAATCTTGTATTGACTTTTATATGTTATTTGATTGTTGATATTTGGTTTTTAAGTTTTTCTTTTAACTTCGAGTTTTCTTTTCTTTCATCCACTAATTTTCTATGTTGTTTTATATATCCATTGTTTTCCTTTTTTAATAATCAACTATTGTATCATCAAATATATTATAATTATGCATGCAAACACTAAGTTATATTTGTTTATTAAAAGACATATTCGAAGGTAAAAGTGAAAATCGTCCTGTGTCATATAATATTTTAATTGTCTAATGAAAGAAATATAAAATCAACTTGAGTAGCTTATCAGTATTATAAATTAAAATATTTAATAAATAGTGTTAGAAAAAATTATGTAAGCGGGATGCTTAAAGGAGACTTTCAATATAAAAATATATTTTTTATGATCAAATACTAAATATTTCAAATGAGAGATTAAGGATAAATATTATTTTGAATTAAAATTCTTATGATTTATAATTAACATGAGATATTATGGTAAAACAGACTAGCCTGATAATTGATCGCCATCGAGATGCCAATACGAAAAATGAGGGCTAAATTACCCTCCACTCTTTAGCGACATGGAGGTGATAATTACCTCTCGACCCTTATGAACAACTATTAATGAGAGGTTATTCAAATTTATCTTATTAGTTGTCATGGACAATGGTTCATGAATGATCGTTCAAGCCTATTCTCCCTCGAGTCAATCTCCGTGGATGATAACCCGTGAGAGGCTATTTGGGTCTATCGCTCTTGTCGACAAAACACCAAAGGATACTGTTACAACGATTATAGGTAATCTCCTCAACCATTTAGATATAAAAGTCGACCATCGACAATGATTATAAGGGTCGAACCGTTTATTCGAAAACCTTTTACATTCTATACAACCTCCTAAAAAAAATTGACTCAAATATCAGAATGGTCAGAAACTCCCTAATCTTTGTGCATAAACGTATTGAAAAAATCGAAATCCAATTCGGCTAGACCTTAAAACAACCTCTGGAAGCCACTGCAAAGATCATCTCAGAACTTAGTTACCTTGGTGCTGCATATCCATCGCTCGACGGTTTCTTAGATGACCTTAGCTACGAAATAATGTCATTGGCAAGAGAATATTCGGCATATAAAGTTACATAATTGTTATGAAATTTGAAGCAGTTCCTCCACGAATCAGTTATGTACAGTTAACTTTTCTACCAATATATTTGACAAGTATCAAAATAGAATTCCAGTATCAAAATGATGGCCCCACAGAGGGACCACCAAGTCCCCAGGCTGATTCCCCAATCACCATGCAGGCTAAGTCGGATGTCGTTAAACAAAGCTTCGCATTGATATTCTGGTGCGCTCCTTTAGTCGCCAACGGTATTGGGAAACGAGCGGCGATCCGCCCACAAAACCATGGGAATCCCGTTTCCCCACTGACGATGTGTCCACAAAACCTAAACCCGCGGTTCCGTAACCTTCTCCTCCATCTACCATTGCCGCCGCCGAGCCGCCTGACCAAGCTACGATGCAGGTGACGGCCTCCGCTCACCGTGTACACCTCTTCTCCCCGTTGTCCTCTCCCGCGCTGTCCCTTCCCTCCGCCAAGCATTGCAGATGTCGAAACCGGAATGCGGCCGCCACCACCGTCCGCATGGGCCTCCGGGAGGACGGCCCCTCCGTGGCTGTAGTGGGCGTCACCGGCGCCGTCGGACAGGAGTTCCTCCGCGTCCTGTCCGACCGCAACTTCCCGTACAGAAACATCCGCCTACTCGCCAGCCGCCGCTCCGCCGGGAAGCGCCTCACCTTCGAGGACCGGGAGTATACCATCGAGGAGCTCCGACCGGAGAGCTTCGAAGGGATCGACATCGCTCTGTTCAGCGCCGGTGGGTCGATTAGCAAAGAGTTCGGTCCGGTGGCTGTCGAACGGGGATCGATCGTGGTGGATAATAGTTCGGCGTTTCGGATGGTTCCGGAGGTGCCGCTGGTTATCCCGGAGGTGAACCCGGAGGCGATGGCTCATATAAAGCTGAAGGGGAGGTCAGGGAAAGGGGCGCTCATCGCGAATCCTAATTGCTCCACCATTATCTGTTTGATGGCCGCTACGCCTCTCCATCGCCATGCCAAGGTTATCTCTTCCCTTCATATAATTCTTTATGTGGCTTTGCATTTCGAGTTCTGCTTTATTTCTTGATCTATATGATACTTTGATCTGCTGTTCTCACCGATAGATGGAATGGATGAGACTAGTGGTCTTATTTAGGCGTTATCATCGAAATCATGAAGCATGACTTTGTGACTGCCATCATGTATGGACTTGATCCCGGTTCAGCATGCAACTATTAGAAATTATGAATTATGCAATAAGATTTTCTGGCTGTTGTTCCCATCTCACCATTGTTGGCCTTCCACCTATCTCATCCACTCTTGGTATAGGGCATTTCATGAAGTGATTTCTTTGTACAGTGCGATCTCCTCACATATAAATGGAGTGCAATTTTTGTGCATATATATATATTTATAATTAATCAATCAATTAATTAATTAATCAGTTATTTGACATTTTTTAATGCTTGTAGTATGCATTTAAAAGTTGACTATTATTCGCGTTGTTCAAAATTCCTGATCTTCTCATGACATAGACACCATATATATATTTTTCTTTTTGGATGAAAGCTAACTTATTCACCCTAGACCTGTTACATAATGTTAAGCATTTAGCCTGTTCATGTGCTAGATGTGCAGGGTAAAGATAATTCACCGGTTAATATTCGCAGCTCTTGCAGAAAGTCAGTATACTGGGGATGCATAGTTTCCTCCCCATGTACTGAATTGCTTAATCTTTCTAAAGTTTCATTATAACAAAATTCTGCATTTTGTTCTACTTGTTTTTAATTACTGTTAAATATGAATCAAATACCACCTAGATGTATAAGAAAAGTATAAACCCTTGGCATAACAATCAGCTTGTTGATTTTCATGTCTTATTGACATGGTTATGATGCTTGTCTCTAATCTTAAGCTGATCGATGACAGGAGATTTTCTTTTTCAGACATACTATGTTGAAATTTAACCTCCTTATGTCCGCAATTTCTTTCATTAATTTCTTATGGACATTAAGTCACAAAAGTTACCTGACTTTCTGCATTCTATAGGTGGTCAGGATGGTTGTCAGCACCTATCAAGCAGCCAGCGGCGCAGGTGCTGCAGCTATGGAAGAGCTCCTGCAGCAAACTCATGAGGTGTTCATTTCAATTTTTTGCGTCTCTATTTGCTACTGATGGCCTTATATATATATTTTTTTTTTGTTATTTTATAGGTCTTGGATGGGAAGCAACCTACATGCAAAATTTTTAATCAACAGGTATTTTCTCTAAGCCACCCTGAATTGAAGATATGATCAGATGATCGGACTTTAAGTTTGTTAACTCTTAATGCAGTATGCTTTCAATCTGTTCTCGCATAACGCAGCAGTTCTTTCTAATGGTTATAATGAGGAAGAAATGAAATTGGTGAAGGAAACTAGAAAAATCTGGGTAATTGCTTATCATTTTTATATAAATGTCCAATCTTTTTTAATGTTTTGTGATTTTTACAATAAATGATTTATTTGATTTCTCATCGTGCATTTCTCCAGAATGACATGGATGTCAAAGTGACTGCAACTTGCATACGAGTTCCTGTGATGCGTGCACATGCAGAAAGTGTTAACCTTCAATTTGAAAAGCCACTTGATGAGGTCAGTTGGAGAAACATGCTCAGAAAGGAAGGCAATGTTGTCAATAGCATTCCAAATAAATTTCAGAAATATTTGTCTGGAATAGTTATAGTAAAGAAGTGCAGCTGGTGTTGCTGACATAAACTTTTAGATTTTTAGATCTTTTGACAGTTAAGGCATATATTCATATTGTAAGAGAGTCATTTTTTTGCTCCGTAGCCATGCATTTTTAATAAATCTAAGTTGCCAAATGGATGATACTGCTACCAATATGCGATAAGGTTAGTCACATGAACACGGTCAGAAGTGAACTTAGCAATTGTCAAACCGGTAATCTAAACAGTTTTAAGGAATAATGCCATATGCCCATATGTTGATAATCTCAATGCTATTCTCTATTTGTGTAGTGATATGAGATAAGTTGAAAATGAGACTAGCATCCTACCATAATCTGAAGAGTTAAGTTCTTATGGTTAATACCCCATGCTGATCATCATCAAGGTCATTCTCGATTTGTTTAAATCCGAGTGCAAAGTTACATACAGGGTAATCACTACTATGGTGTGTCACCCTTCAGACATTTTTAGTACATTTCAGAGCTGTTTAACTTAATATGTTCACTTCATGAATCATTGTCACTATTCTGATTGGAATAGATATGTTTAGGTATATCTTCAATATTAGTATATATATCCACAACTAGTACATGGATATGTACAGAAATAAGCATTTTTTTTAGCAAAGGCATAAGCATTTGAAGCTAACTCTTGTCATGTAAATTTCAAACAAAGTGCCTTGTTAGATAATGGCAGTTCTTATCACTTTGCTCTTAATTGTTTAAGGAAACAAAGATTAATCAACTTTTCTTCTGAGTTTGTGATTTACTTGGTTGGGTTTTAATTCAATTCCCCAAGGAAATTAGCTGGTTTTTCTATATTTTGTAATGCCTGTTTATGTAATTTGAAATGCCCATGTGAGGTGTGTGACTTGTCAAGTCATTCTTAAGGAGCTAGTAATCATTAAGGTTATTTCAACGTTTGTCTTCCTTTATCATACAGAGCTCCTAGCTCACATATTCAGTGTTCGAGTATTTCTGCTGCTTATTATGAATGTTATCCTACTTCTCCACTAACCGAGTGGAATTCAACTAAAACTGATTCTTAGTCTCACTGAAATTTCAAATATTTTTGTATGTTGAATATATAGGATACTGCTAGGTGCATTCTGGAGGGAGCTGCTGGTGTGGCAGTTATCGATGACCGGGAATCCAATCACTTTCCTACGCCCTTGGATGTTAGTTTTTCCCTTCTTATATCATTTACTAATGTGTGACAGAACCCTATAAAGTTCCAATCACTTATGCTCTTGGATTTTTGCTTGATGTCATAATAAAAAATTGCATGTACTTCTGATCACTTCTCCTATACTATTGTGTGATAACAGAGAGACACCACATAAACTAAAGCGACTTGATTCAAGTCACCCAAATGTCAGGATGCATTATCTTTCACGTTTCAATCGAAATCTTGATGATAATTTTAATCAGAGAGGAGACCTCCTGTCCGCAGGTGTCAAATAAAGATGATGTGGCTGTGGGACGCATACGACAGGATCTATCTCAAGATGGCAACCTAGGGTAATAAGCTCCTTAAAACCCATATGGTTGCCGCTGCCATTGTTATCATTGACATTGACAAAAGAATACTGGTAATACTACTAGTGTTATCAATTTACACCATGTACTAACTGAAGTTTCACAACAGGTTGGACATATTTGTGTGTGGTGATCAGATACGTAAAGGGGCAGCTCTAAATGCTATCCAGATTGCTGAAAAGTTGCTGTAGAGGATGCGTGATAATTTTCCCATATGTTTAAGCATTTCCCTTATAATTTGTTTCCCGGAGCAAGGAAGATAGCATCAATTTTTCGGTCCTTGAAATGATTCAACTATCATTTCTTGTTGTGCAAAGGCAATTCTGTATGATGGGCTGCGTCTTTTTTTCGGTCAATTTACATTTCTGTTGTGCGAAAGCAATTCTGTATGATGGCCTACGTCTTGGTCAAGTCAATCTTATTGTACCATAAGGTGCCACTCATCCACAATTCATAAGTTTGCATTATGAAGCATGGACTCTTAATTATGTGCCTCCACTCATCCATTCATCTGGAATTAACCTATAGCTTTGGACAGAAAAGGTCAGGTTTTCATGGCATTCTGAGGACGGTAGTCCATGTAGTATAGATTCGATTTCTCGAAGCTTTTCCCGAAGTACTTGCGTTCTTCCAAATTTTCGTTTCACTTCCATGAATGTGTTGTTTACTCGAGATCAGTTTCCAGGCGCTTATTTTTCTTCAGATTGTTGCAACCTTATCCATCTTGCTTCATTTCTTGTTGATCTTATTCTTCGTCGTCTTCTTTCAGTTCTTATCGATCTCATTGCCACTTGCCCAAGTCATTCAGTAAAAGCAGGTTTATTGTGGAGTATTAATGCCATGCATCTACCTATGTAGGATCTGCAAAGTTATTCCTGACATCACCATGGTCGGTCGGTCATGGTCATGGCATAACACGAATGGCCTCTCTGGTAACCAGCTGTCGTAGCTAAAGCGAAGCAAGCTTGGTTACTGTTCAACCTTTTTTTACATGCTTCTTGGCCAAGGCAAGTGGGTGCACAACCAGAGTAATGCCACATGAGCTTTGTACTCCTATGCTTCCTTTTCAAGTTCCCAACAGGTAAAAGTTCACATGACTTGCGCGTAGTACAATGAATGGCTTTCTTCGTGGTCTTTTTCTGGTTTCTGTTTCACTAAGCTTCAACCTTTTTAGGCCTATCAAGATTAGAAGCAGTTTGCATTTCATATAATATTTCATATAATTCTTTAGGTGACGAAGATAATATTTGAACTCAGGATAAATCTTTCGAAAAATATATTGGATGAGACTTCGATTTTTTTTATTTTTTTAAAAAAATAATTTTTATATTTAATTTTATATCACTGAAAATTGTAGGCATTTCTAATGAGAATATTATCTTTTCACGAATACATAGCAGTCAGAGTTCAAATCATCAATCCATTTTGCACAGAACCATTCTTGCTTTAGCTACAGTCTTGCCCAATACATGCTTCACAAAAGGTTGGACAGAAACACCTCTCTCTCTCTCTCTCTCTCTCTCTCTCTAAAAACAGAAAGAAAAATCCCCCTTTTCTAAAAACAGAAAGAAAAATCCCATCTTTTTATTCTTCATTTTCTTATGAAACCGACTTTAACTCTCTTTTCACAATAAAAAAGGCAGTCACGTGCAGCGCACGTTCGTCTATTATAGTTAGTACATCGAGTTGGAATTGAATTAATCTCACACGCAAAAAAATGGTGCATCAAAGTAGGCAGAATATATATATGAAATATTTAGCCCAAATCTACTTTTTCACCCAAAATCTCCAAAGATCCAACGCCACTCTCTCTCTCTC